ATTAACTAATTATCAATTAGGAAGTTTAGGGTTTTGTTACTGCATTGTCGGATTTCAAATTAAGATAGCGAACGAGTGATATGAGAGTAACAGAATGTAGCGTGCTAGTAAATTTATCTGTGCTTAATTTGGGTTGTAATTTTTAGGTGTGATTTTATTAAACAATTAGGTGTGTAGTTAATTTTTCGGTTAATAGAATAGAATATCTACGGAAATAGTCTTGGAAATATTTATCCAAATAAAATTTTTCGTGATTAAATAAAATATATAGGTTTTTATATACATCAGCGATGAATTTGTGAAGATTTTTGATAGTTTTATACATAGCCTAATTTGCCTCCAGGATTTATTTTTAATATAAAATGAGGTTACAAATCTGTTGTCGTGGATGACTATAGTTTCGGGGTTAAACCCAGATTTTCTAATCTTTCTTCTTCAGTCATCGATCAAAAATACTTCACACTTTAACACATAGGTTGGTATCCTCATTTTATGTCAACTTCGATCGTGTAAAGATTTACATGGTAGGTATTATAGTGTAACAAAATTACACATATCCAAAATATTCACGGTCAAGGTAAAAACTTAAAAGATAGGTCCAACTTTCCTTATTTTGTGTTTTATTACTGGGTTATCCACGTAAACATAATAGGCACCTTAAACTTTACATTAACCATATATAATCTTTTTGTTTCGGTAGCTCTTATTTCTCACCATCTCTTCATCATTAGGTCTTAAACAAGAATGCTTTTCTTCATTTTGCATCTCACAGTAAAAAAGCAACAAAATTTTACACACAAAAGAACAATGACTTGCCACATATAATTGAAAAGGGTATAGAAAGTCTTCTGGTGATATAATTCAAAAGCACACAATGCAGTATGTGAAACGACCAAATAATTTTGAAAATAGGTAAAAAAGCTATTCATCACCCCTTCCCACATTGGGGGTTTTCAACCACCAAATCGAAAATGTAGCAAAAAGAGCTTCTTCAATCTGTCGCCAACCGTCTAAGTGCTCTACAAAGTTTTCAACGAGCGTCGAACTTGTTTTACTACGAGATCGAATAAATCTACGTTAATTGGCAAACTTTATGTTCCCAAGATCAACATCCCTGTGTTGACAGGGTGGGAGTGGGGGGAGGGGGGGAATCAGGACATTTGCTACCCTTAGGATTCAGATTGTAAATAAATTGAACGTCCCATTGCGTTTGTAAACTATCCTGCTTGATTCTAGATGCTGTAGTATATTTTAAAAAAAATTAACGTGATATCTATATTATATTCACATTAAATGTGTCTTTTTGTTCGTGTGATGTGTAATATTATAAAATTAATTGAGACATATTTCACTCTAATATAACTTTTATAGAGAGGATTGGCCCACTAAAAAGCATATTCCCGTTTCGATATCGTCATAGGGTCAACGTTCTGGGATTGAGGTTACACATTTTTAATATCTTTTACTTTCATTGAAAACTAAAAAAAAAATTGAAATAATAACATTTTTGCTTGGTCTACGTTTGCTAAGGTTTTAAAAGCTTGAAAATGCCGATTTAAATAACATATTTCTTATAAATTTCTTTTATTATCCTACTGAGACACCATAGATTGCAAAACTTCGTTTTGTTCCGTAATCAGTGGTAATATAGTGTAAATGTATTTTTAAAGTAACTTCTCTATACAAACTTTTTTATCCGAAGTCATATCATGTTTTTTTAACAGTAAAGCTACTAGTACTAAATAAAAAAAAGGAGGAATACACTCGTAGAAATAGTTCAACTAGTGCATTATGTATCCATGTAATAAAACAGCCTCAGTCACGCAGGGTTTCAGCTCTGGATTGGAACATCACGAAGAAGGAGAAAAAAATTATAAGTTTTTTTTTGCGATTTAAACAATAGCTACAGCTGAACTCTATTAAGAGGTCATAATTTAAGAGATACTTACAGTGTGTTCACAAAATGTTTACTTTTTACACGTAATATTTTGACTATGCAGTATTTAAACATTTGCTAAATTAACTTTTTATAAAACAATGTTCTGTGTTCCGAAAATATCTATAACATTAACACGCACGTTGCACACGTCATATTTGAAAACAAAATTATTATCCAAGTAACCGGAATAGTAGGCCTATACAAAACTATAAATATTTTTAATAAATAACGAAAAACATCCAAAATCCAAACATTTGAGTCCTTGTATAATTTATTTCACTCATTCCCTATAGTAGTGAATGGATTAACCCAAAAAACTTCGTTTTAGTGAGGGATTATTTACATATTAATTTATAATTATAAAAATCACCTAAAATAATACAGATACGATTTATTACCTTTATTTATTCATTATCTCACCTTAAACAAACAACACACCTTACATTTATTAAACATAAAACATATTAAACAAAAAAATATTTTACATTTAAAAACTATCATAATCTATGTTTTGATCGTACAATCCCACTGTGCTACACAGTCTATACTTGCCATATATAATTATAATTGTATCCAGTCGTGTACTACAAGACTCCTAATGACTTAATCACCAACGCATCAGTAAAGTTAATCGCCTTACATTTGATTTTAATAAAGAAAACAAGCTTACATCAATGCACCTTTGGCAGCGCAGCGGTCGGTAGCTGCCCTAGGCGAGTACTGTAGATGTAAAGATCGATTTGAAAATTGACCATAATTAGTGGTAACAAGCCGATTTTGTGCCATGGTGGTCTCAGTGAGAAAGTACCAATAGGTAATTGTCTACCCGTTAACTCTATTGCACCACTGCCAACTATAGATGAGGACTCGGCTTAGTCTGAGATATTTAATAAAGAAATTGGGATGTTATAAACCTAACTGTAAGTAAATAAAGTGCCTAAATTAAATGAGTTGGAAACAAAATAGCAGAATAGTTAGTTAATGTTGGTGCGTAGTGATAAATAGATACCGGTATTATTATATTTTCTAAGTTTTCCGATTTTTTTTTTTTTTGGGTTATGTTAAACCTTCGTCAAAAATAAACCTAGGATATACGATGATTGTTTTAGTGCAGAAAACAAAAAAGAAATTACTTACGATTCAATTTAATAAAACTTAACGAATATAATACACGTATTTAAGTGCTACGTTGGATTTTTTTACCCACCATATAGGACAAAATTCTATGAATATGTATAACAGATAAATGTGCTGTACCTATTCTGTAGGCACCCAGCTAACTGTGTAGAGACAATGTTATCTCAGCCAGTAACAACAATGGATCTAATGAGGTGGTGATGATCTATATCTACAGTGGATGGACATTTCTCCTCAGGGAGTCCCTGGTGTTATACCGAGTCCATTTCCTAAGTATACATTATAAATATTGTTAATTGGATTTTAATATTGTTTACTGATAGAAAATTAAGAATTCTCAAATTTTCAGTAAGATTGCTATTAATTTAGAGGATATTTTGTTATTTTACGGAAATAATTTGTATTACACAAATAAAACACATTTCACGCTAGGAACACTATTTATGAGGAAACTTTGGTAATTACCCTGTGTTTATGTAAAATGTATACACCAATCGTATAAACACTGTATTTGTTACAGATTGTTTTGAACTATTTTAACCAAATAGATAGAATTAAGTAAAACAATAGTACTAAGAATTTTATTCATTTTACTTACAGATCATTTTAAATACATTTGTTTTAAAGATATGTCTTAAGGAATATAGCTCGAAAAAACTTGCAGATCGTTTATAAGACACATTTTAAACTCTCTTTTGAGATGAAAAATTTTATAAATGACAAAATTGTAACAATTGATTGTGTTTGATAAATAATGCGCTGTAAATATAAATGTCGAAAAAATAAAAACAGAACTTTTAGTAGCATGTAGTTTTCGCTTTTAACTTTTGGTTTCAGTATAGGCTTGAAATAACAAGTTTAGATTCATTGAACTTAACTTTAATAACAAAGATGTTTAAAAATTAATTTTGTTTTGTTATGACCGTATTGACCTCCGTACCTAGAATAACACGATAAACTCTGTAGGTAACATTTAATTGCATAACATCGACAAACACGTTTTCATCGGTATATTTGAAAAGTTAAAGCATGTAAAAATATATCCAGCTATATCCAGGATAGTAAATACCAACACTTTGAAAATATAAGATATTGAATAAAGTGTTAAGTAATTTCCGAGAATAATTTGGCAATCGTTTTGATTTGATCTAGCAACACGTTTAAATCAAAACATTGTATGGTGAAAACTTTTTGTATTTTATACTGAGATTAAAGTATAATCATTGTGAGCGTTTATTTATCGTAGTCTCTGGCAAATTTATACAACAATGTTGATGATTTAAATGACAGTTCATAAAAAATACGATGTTCAAAAATTGTCACGAAACATCACATTATTGGCATTTTGGAACCTTTCCTAAATAACTTTTCTAACATTCCTACGAAAACAGTCGAACATGGCTTATTTTGATAAGTTATTGCAGGCAGAAATCAATCAAAAGTTGTTGGGGTTTCTTCGCATATAAAGTACCTTTTTTTTCGAGAGTGTTCCCAGATCAACAACTGTACAATAGTAATTAAAAATTGTCTTTGAGTACGATTTAGTAACGCGATGATGACACCGTCACAATTCCAACTACGTATACATACGTCCAAAAACTAAACTGACATTTTGCTACGTTGCCGAAATAATTGTTCAAACTTCATTAATATGCAACAACAAAAAGATTTGCAGAAATGATTTGCAAAAGATTAAAATTGAATAAAAACCATACCCCCTTTATTAAAACCATTGAAGGTTAAAAACCTTATCGGCTAAGAAAGTTATTAAGTTAAACATAGATGTAGGATACACTCACATTTATTTGTTTACATTTTGGCAAATTTTATAATAAAATTACTCTAGACCATGATCTAAGTGTCAAAATGCATCAGTATTTTTTTTTTTAATTTTTAGCAAATATATACACATAATTATTATCACTTACCTGGCAAAGAAAGCGGCAGCAGCCGAAGCCTGCGCAGGGGTGCCTAGCTGGGTGTGCGACGGGGGCGGCTGACTAGAACTCCTCCTGCGGTCCACGGGCGGGAGTCCACTCAGGGGCCCGTCTATAAACACCTCCCCGACCACGGGCACCGCGCCGGTGATCAGTTGGTGTCGCGAGTACCGCTCCATGGTGGCGCGCGGCCGTCGTGGTTGCAGGTCCTCCACAGTCGGCGCACTACTGGCCGCGGGAGCGACGGGCGGTCGGCTCCTAGGAGGGGACCGGTACAGCTCGGGCTCTGGCGGGGGACGGTACACGCGGCCTAGGGGGAACTCCGGGGCCGTCACTGCGTCTGGGTTCACCTGCAAGTGATAAGAAATAGTAAACATAACATGAGAGTAGTTGGTTAGATTGATTCACCATAACTTGAATGCATCACTAAACCGCACGATCACCGAGTACCCACTTTAAGGTTTACTTTTATTTGTAGTTTATCCATGACACGACATTTTGTGATCTGGTCTATCTACCATCTATCGTTGCCGTTTCGTTTGATAGCCTTGATAGATAAATTGCAGCTGCGTCCAGAATTGAGTTCGTGCGGAATCGAACTAGCGTCTTACGATTTTGAGATGCGTTCCATGTAAACTATATGCCTTTGAAGGTTTCTGTCCTATTCCCGATCTTGAAATTTCTTACGGCTCTACCCTCGGAACTTACCGAATGTTTATTTTTTATTTGTAAAGCCTTCATATTTCTACCGTGCTTTATTTAAGACTGCCATGCAGATTATTAATGATGATTTGTCTAGATCAAAATGAAAATACTCGCTTAACTACATCACAGGCTGTGTTGACTTTCAAAACTATGCGTTTCTTTGTCTTTGATACCATGATAAGTATGATACGTATGAGATGATATGGTTCATGATGTCATCCTTTTTGCTCAGTTTAGTTAAAATATGGTGTATTCCTATTTCAATAATTGATAACAACCCACTTTGCCGGTGCCTCAGTTACTATAGTCAGTGGTAGCCTAAGATCAACATTATAAATGCTACCGTTAATTATATAAAAATATTTAAATCTCTATTATGACACTGTTTAGACAAATATTGAAAACTCCATCTTTGAAAAATCACTAGAAGATATTTCTGGATCAAAAAGCATGAGTTATTCCAGATTTTCACAACTTGTGAACCTACAAAAACTAAAAAACCTTCACAATTCTACCTGTTATAACTTTGTAACCATATTTTTTTCCCTTCAAAGGCATTCGAAACTAGAAAATCCAACGCATCTTCAGTACAAAGCACCACAATCGGTTCCCATGTCGTGGTCTCTGGTACGGAAATAGATGAGTATAATTACGTAGGTAATTAATAACACAGACACGGACAGACTACACGCTCGTGTCCATGAGTGATGACAACTAACTGCCATCGATCTCGTCCAACCTCACCCTCACACTCGCAATGTGTCCAGTAATCTTTAAAGAGGTAATGGGCAAATGAGGGAAATTGCATTTTACAAAAGGTGTATGCATAGGGTAAATAAAAGATTTGAATACTTTAACTTTAAACTTAAATGGTGACCATGCGAAGGGAAAATATTTTAACCCAAGTATGAATGTAGATGAGTGTAGGATGAGTGGCGCGATATTGTAGTCAAAAAGGGACCTACAGTTTATAGTGGAATTCGAACCACGTTTGCCTTGTAATTTATGAATTGGTCGAATTATAAGTATAGTACTGGGGATAGTCGTAGTACTCACGATTACGGACGTTAATCCACACCAGGGAGTATCACAATCAATTTTTAAAAATTATTATTTAATTGTCTTGATTCAAATACAACGGTTAAACATGATTAACTGCCAAAAAAGATCACAGGCACTGAATGAAACATTATTAACACGTTGGGTGCTGATGACGGGAATTCCCGCAATTGCTTAACATTGAAATAAATGCAACTTTTATGTTCAAACATGTCGATAGCACGAATAGTGTTAACAACGTTTTTGTACAAATGAAACATATTTTATTATTATTTTTCTTATTTAGCTGTCTTAAATTGCTACCTGAAAGGAAAATGTTTGTAAAATAATAGAATATACAAGTACAAATAAAGCTGATGAATCATTACATTATTTTAATGAACAATTAATGATTAAATAGCTTATATAGCTTTCAAATGTTTTATAGGCCTAATAGTATTGTTTTAATAATGTTCTTTATTTTTGTTTTTATATTTCCTTAAATAGGTAGTGTATTTTATATTTGAAAAAAAAAACTCTGGAAATAATGAAGTAGAGGTCAACCAGAAGGCCAAGGCTGGCCTTTATTCTTCACTGTGTAGAAGAATAAATTTATCTTTTCTAATTTTTTGACGAAAAATAAGATTTAAGTCCTCTCTAGTCCATCTTTTATGCACTAAGTACCTTTTTTGTAAACGTAAAACAACTTAATTGAAATTTTGAAAAAAATAATTATTATGAGACTAGGAATTATAATTAAGAAATATTTCAGCATCAAATGTAAATTTCAGAAAGTAAATAGATTAGTTCGATAATTTCATTTAAAAATAACGTTATGTAACTCTTAATATTTAGGTATTTTTTAGTCTTTAGATAACATTGAAAATGTTACAAATACACAAACAAAATGATATTAACATTAAACAACTTTTACTGTTACGTAATTTGTTTTCCAAAATAAACCATTTATATTATAAAAACGTTTAATAATTTTTATTTTCAGAAAAAATTACGGAAAATTAATTTTAAGTGCAACAGAAAGGCTATCAAGGGAGCTCAATTATAAAAGCCCTCTAATTGTCTTACGGCTGTAAGCCTCTTAGCTAGGGAAGAGTTTAAAGTTTTTCACTTAAATTGGATGGGAGATGTTGCAGAAGGTTTATTTTAAGAATTGCTGACTTCCAGCATTTCTTTGACGACTGATTGAGAATTACAGAGTGATATTTATTTTCTCTCTCATATTTATTCAATCCAATTTCGCAATACTAAAATATTAAAACATCCCAGAAATACAATTTATACATTATTTCGGCGCACCATAAAAAATAAATTGAAAATTAGTCATTAGTCCAGTCAATGAATGATCCAAAAGTAGGTGTAGAGTGCGTGAGCAGGTAACTAAGCGATTCCTTCAGAAACTTGTTCAGGGGGCTTAGGGTGTTAACATACCAAAAGTCCTGACTCCTAGGTGGTGAGCCAGGGGGTGGAGGGGGGGAAAAGGGGGGGGGAAAGGTACGCATTTTGGGTTTTTTGATTATATCTCAAAAACTATCAACTTTTTGTATACTATAGTAAATTATAAAATTGAAGAAGATTAAATTTTCTACAAGAAAAGTATATAATGTGTTTATTTTGGTTCAACAGATTACGAGTTATAACTTATTTAATTGATATCTTATTAAAATACTCCTTCCATAAGAAATACATGTAAATTAGTATGCGAAATGGGGCGAATCCTATCCGCCCAAAGGAAATATAACTGATATTCTGGAAATCTTGACCAAATTTCCAGTAATTTGACACTTAAATCATGAAATTTTGTCAAAAATTAAAGCGAGGGTGAGCGTTTAAAAATGGGATGATTTAAGGTTTTTTTTTATATTTCCAATAAAAAAACACCAAAACTCGACATTTTGTTACCTCGCCCTCGCCTTAATTTTGGATCAATTTTAATGATTAAAGTGTCAAATTACTGGAAATTTTGTCAAGATTTCCAGAATATCATTTATATTTCCTTTGGGCGGATAAGATTCGCCCTATTTCGCATACTAATTTACATGTATTTCTTATGGAAGGAGTATTTTAATAAGATATCAATTAAATAAGTTATAACTCGTAATCTGTTTGAACCAAAATAAACACATTATATACTTTTCTTGTAGAAAATTTAATCTTCTTCAATTTTATAATTTACTATAGTATACAAAAAGTTGATAGTTTTCGAGATATAATAAAAAAACCCAAAATGCGTACCTTTCTCCCCCCCTTTTTCCCCCCTCCACCCCCTGGCTCACCACCTAGGAGTCAGGACTTTTGGTATGTTAACACCCTAAGCCCCCTAAACAAGTTTCTGAAGGAATCGCTTAGTTACCTGCTCACGCACTCTACACCTCATTCCTTGACTGGACTACATCTTTCTAATCTATTCTCTATCAAGTTTCTTCTTTATCTATACTTATTTAATACGCAAGCACGATTTTTGTGACAATTACTCCTCCGAAACTACTGAACCGATTGGCATGTTTTTGGTGTCATTGGAAAGAGCGTAACGTGAAGTTGTGCAGGAAACTTTCTTTTTAGTTAAATAATTAAAGAATGCGGCCCTGGGGCCCTTTAAAGTTTCGCATTTCTCCTTAAGATTAACATGGGAAAAAAACATTGTTTTGAAACTCCAGCTGTTGTTAGAAATTAAATATTAAATAATTGGTCTCCATGGAAGCATGAGAAAATTCACAATGTTTACATTTGCTTTGACATTTTTTTGTAAACAATCAGAACTGTCAAATGTCTATTTCACAAATTCCGACAGCTGATCCAAAAAATGTATTTTCCTTCCACCATGTAAAACAACTATGTGGTAGGTTTATTTAATCTTAACCTTTATGATAGATTATTTATTATAAATCTATTTCAATGATTATGAAACAGATTTTTCCCGTTGCGAAGCAAAAATTAATTGTGAGAAGAAGAACATAATGTAAAACAGTCAATGTGTAAATTATCTATGTTGTATTAAAAATATGTTTAGTTTTGGATGTTGGTTTGTGTTAAATGATATCGGTTATTAGTTATTGCATTTTTATTCTAAGGATTTGGCATATGAGTAAGCCTATGATAAATAACACCATTTCAGAGTTCTGCCAGTTTTTGCCTAACTCTATCCTGTAGAGTTTAAAGTAGCCTACACCTTATTGTCTAGATATTGGCTAAACAACTTAGGTACGGTAATTTTTAAAAGCTGACGGCCTTTTTACGTTGACTTAAATTGTAAGCTTATCTTTTCCCGTACATGGGCAGATTGATTGTTAAAAATTAACCCTTTAAACTGGAATAGGACTGTCATGTAAATTGTGAGTATTTTTATCAGTTAATAATCTTTTAGTTGACTCTTTTAAAATCATCATAAATTATGAATGTAATTAGTTTTTAAACAAGTTATTTGTTTATAAATAACTCCTGTACTTCTTTGCAATTGCTCGATTTCGAGCAACATGTACACTAGTTATATTTAATAGCTAATTTTTTTATGTATCAATTTATCTTACAATTATTTGTGAGCCTAATTATCTAATTTAGTTTAATTACATCCAAAAGGTAATGTTGGTTT